CTGCCCCTGAATCCCTGGAATGTCCAAGGTCAGGTTGGACTTGGAGCAACCTGGGCTAGTGGAAGGTGTCCCTGCCCACGGCAGGGGGTGGAACTGGATGGTCTTTAAGGTCCCTTCCAACCCAAACCATTCCATGATTCCATGATCCATATTTATTTTAAAGCTCCAACATCTTTGAAAATTCAAACCACTTATCTACTGAGCAGGAATTCACAAAACCAGATGCAAATCCCAAGTTGTAGGCAATAATATCCAGACTGTTTCATCCCTTTGAAAATAATATCCCTGGAAGAGCCAGGAATCCAACTGTATCAACACTGACAGCACTTTGCCTGCAACCAAGAAGAAACAGGTTCTGGAAACCTGAGCAAGTGTCTTGAGTTAAAAACAGCCTCATTCCATGGGCCAAACTCCCAGGGAGCCTCTGCTCACGAAACTCTTGGAACAATTTTATCTGGAAACAATTATTACATTACTCTCCACCGAAATGCTATCAAGAGTGATATAAAAAATAAAATAATCCTGCTGATATTGTAGCCCCAGCCATGTCACATCTCAGGGGGGGGATAAAAATTAGAGTTACATAATTTAATGAAATTTCAGCAGTGTAAAACCAAAACATGGGATTTAGTTTTATAAATATAAGGACAGTCAAACTTCTGAGATGTTGTTATTAAAAACTTATCTGTGAGTTACTCAGACTCCTTACTTAACTCACTGCCATTATGAGCAAATAAAGGATATTAAAAAAAATATGAGAAATCAGAGTTGATGTCTCTGAGAGGAAAATAAATAGGAAGTAAGTTCTCATAAGTTCTCACTCCCTGCACTGGGGTATGAGCAGAGAAGCAGCATCCATGTTATTCCATAAATACTCTCCCAGAGACACAATCCAGGACACACAGAAATAAATCCTCAGCACTAAAGGCAGACCGAAAGTGGAATTTTATGTTTCCATTCAACAGAGAAAGCTCAAGTCATCTCCCAGCTCCAGTAAAAAAGCAAACAGCCCCTGTTCCTTCCCACCCCCTGCTCCCTGTGCCATCCATGCCGGCGGGCACAGATAACTGGGACATGTCCTGCACTGTGTTTGGGCTTGGTCTGGGAGAGAAGCCTCAGGAAGGGAACACGAGAGTAACTCAAGGAGGAAAAACACACCAGGAATGAAGGACTTGGAGGCAGCACATTTTGCTGGCACACATCGGGCTGCTCCCACACGGGCACCAGAGGGATCCCAGGGAGGCACCTCCAGCCCTGGGGGCACTTCTGGGACCCTCAGACAGGAGAGACACGGAGGGGCTGGAGCGTGTCCAGGGAAGGGAACGGAGCTGGGAAGGGGCTGGAGCAGCAGGAGCAGCTGAGGGAGCTGGGGGGGCTCAGCCTGGAGAAAAGGAGGCTCAGGGGGGACCTTCTGGCTCTGCAACCCCCTGACAGGAGGGGGGAGCCGGGGGGGGCGTTGGGCTCTGCTCCCAGGGAACAAGGGACAGGAAGAGAGGGAACGGCCTCCAGCTGTGCCAGGGGAGGATCAGGTTGGACATCAGAAGGAATTTCTCCCTGGAAAGGGTGGTCAAGCCTTGGCAGGGGCTGCCCAGGGAGGTGGTGGATTCCCCATCCCTGAAGGTGTCCAAGGAAGGACTGGATGTGGCACTCAGTGCTCTGGGCTGGGGGATAAGGTGGGATCCAGCAGAGGTTGGACTCAAAGATTTGGAGGTCTTTTCCAACCTGAATGATCCCCTGAGTGTGTTCCTGCCCATTAGCCCTCCTTTAACTGGGATCAGTGCTGTCCTTGTGCTGGGGAGGGGAGGAGGGGGATTCGGGCTCTGCTCCCAGGGAACAAGGGACAGGAGGAGAGGGAATGGCCTTAAACTGCACCAGGAGAGGTTTAGTTCGGATATTGGGGAAAATTTCTCCATGGAAAGGGTTGTCCAGCCCTGGCACAGCTTCCCAGTGCAGTGGTGAGTCCCCATCCCTGGAGGGATTTCAAATCCCTGTGGATGTGGCACTTGGGGACATGGGTCAGTGGTGGCCTTGGTAGTGCTGGGGGATGGTTGGACTCGATAACCTTCAAGGGCTTTCCCCCCAAAAAAACCGATTCCATGATAATTTTATCACTCAGATGCAGAAATCAGACATCAGAAAGGACGGAAAGGCATCAATTCCCATTTTTCCTCGCTAATTTGGAAATACAAGTCGCCGCTGCTCCACAAGAAGCCCTTCCACCCTCCCTGGGTGTTACATCTCCTACTCTGCAAGGAGCAGCTGCTACACCCTAAAAAAAAAAAAACCTCAGCCCTTTACCACAATCTTCATAAGGTC